TAAGATTTTTGAGAAAAAGGAAAATCTATTGAAAATATCTGAAAGGCAAATCAAAATAAAAACAAAGGTATTCCATTAGTAAACTGAATTTAATTTGATAATGTCAGAACTGTGATTAAGAGTACACTCACAGGACCAGGTGTGATGTCACAGACTTGTAAACCCAGATCTTGGGAGGCTGAGGCAGGAGCACTGCCAACAGTTCAAGGCCACTCTGAATTACAGAGTGAGACCCAGTCTCAAAAAAAAAAAAAAAAAGATAAAAAAGAAAAAAGAATACATTCACACATAACATTGTGCTTACAATTGATATTATAGTACTATACTGTTCACTTAGAAATTGAGTATTGACCTCAAATTAAGTCTTCTTACTATATTAAAAGAAAAAATTAAAACTCAATTTTAGAAATTTTACTGTAGAGAAACAGGGAAGAAATGTCAAGTCTTCAACTATTCACAAATACTAAATATCAAATTATTATGCTGAATTTTAAAAAACATCCATATTCTTTAAGATTTGATCTCCAATGAATTAATGGATTTTTTAGAAACTTCAAATGTTATGTCCTAAAGCTTCCTAGATTCTCAGAAAGTATACTTTTTTGAGGGATGGGGGAATGCTGGGGATGGAAACCAGGGCCTGCATGTGTTATACTACGAAGCTATAGCCCCAACCCAAAAAATAATATTTATTTAAACTCCTGAAATCTTAGATGTGAAATAATAGCACACTAGGAGATTATCAAGCTGAGCATGGTGGCATGAGCCTGTGACTCTGGCTCTTCAGGAGGTTGCGGCAGAAGGATCACAAGTTTGAGGCCAGCCTGGGCAACTCTGATCCTGTCTCAAAATAAAAAAAAAAAGTGCACTGGGAAGTGGGTGGGGGATGGGACAGTATCAAGTGACGAAAAATAGATTAACAAGATCGTAAATAATTGAAGTCAGCAATAGTTATGAGCCCCAGTTACATGCCTGGCACTGTGATAGGTGCTAGGAATATAGAACAAGACTTAATCCCTAGCCTCAAGATTTATCTAATGGGGCTGGGGATTTAGCTCAGCAGCACAGCACCTGCCTGGCAAGTGCAAGGTCATGAGTTTGATTCCCAGTACTGGAAAAAAAACCAAAAAAAAAAAAAAAAAAAAGATTTATCTAATGGAGGGCTGAGGGTCTAGCTCAGTGGTAGTGCACGTGCTCACCACAGCTGAGGTCCTCTTTTAATCTCTAGCACTAGGGAAAAAAAAGTATCTAATGGTGAAGATTGCCACTAAGTAACTATAGGTATGAAGAAGTTATGAAGGTGGGAATCTTAAAATTCCACAGGAATACACAGCAAGAAGGTTTAGGAGCAAGCTTCCTTTATTTTGTTTCTGTTTCTAAAATTTTTTTTTCTTTTTTTTGTGGTGCTGAGGATTGAACCTAGGGCCTTGCACACATTAGGCAAGGGCTCTACCACTAAACTACATCCCCAGCCCACAAGCTTCCTTTAAGTGGAGATGTGAAGGACGAACAGTAGTGAGCCAGTAAAGGAGAGTAGGCTCAAGAGAGAAAATTCTACAGATCTACCAAAAATACCAGAAAGCTGCCGTGAGTGGTGGTGCACACCTGCAATCCCAGCACTCTGCATGCTAAGGCAGGACGACAGCGAGGAGTTGGAGGTCAGCCTGAAATACACAGTGAAACCCTGTCCTCAAAACCAAACAAAAACAGATCAGAAAGTTCAGAGTAGAAAGAGATGCAGTAGAAAGAGAATTCTACAGCTGTAGAGTCCATAATGAGACAGAAAATAGTCTTGTGATGAAGCTAGAAAATTCTCTAGAGCTCTGATGATGCTAATCTGGTGGATGCTACCGATTTTCACATTTCTGGTACACAGCAGTTTTATGTAGCATTATACTCACTATTGTCTTACAAGTAAACATTTTTGGTGCTCAGAGAGCAACAGGATCAATAGAAGCTTACTTTCATCTGCTGTACAGGCCCTTTAGTATAAGGTATGTTTATACCAAAGTGGATGTGTCTACTTACTGTGTCAAGTATTTCTTTGGTATGAGCTGCTGACAAGCAAAATCTGGCTCTGGACTCAATAATCGGGGTAGCAGGAAATCCTACCACGACTACACCAATATTCCGCTTCAGCATCTCTCGCCCAAAAGCGCTGCAAAGGGCAACAAGGAGAAAAGAGGTGCAGGTGAACATTAAAGTACAGAGTGCAAAGGTCTTGCTGTCTCGAAGGTGAGCCCTAGATGATAATGAGGCACTGGAGACTTGTAATAGTCTTCTCTATCTTCCCAGTTCACAAAACTACTTCTGTATAATTATATTTATTCAATATAATTATTGTTCCTTTGCTTTTCAAATGTCATTTGTTTTACTTCACATCTGGACTTCTCAGATACACTGAAAGCTCTCCCAGGGTGAAGCCTTCCATTGTGTATGCTTCACACAAACCAAAGAAGCTGGTGTAATCAGCACACCTGCGAGATATCCAGTAACACACCCTGACCTCCTGCCCACGGCTCCCCCGCGGGCACTGTCCTCCAGCTCCCACAACTGCTTGGCTATTCTCCCACCGACTATGCACGTACTGCATGAGGCCTTTATACGATGCTACTTTCTCCAAGTGGCTGACTTTAAGGTCCGTCAAGCCTTTGCTCAGCCATCCCTTCCCACTGAGGTGTTCTCTGAAAAACTGTTATTTGCCTATCCTAGGGCACTCTCAGTTCCCAAGCACAGCCTGCTCTATTCTCTCCTGTAGCACCTAACACTCTCCAGTGCATCATACAACTTACTCTGTTTGTCTGACTCTTGCCCCACTAGAATAAATGCTCCACAAGAGCAGCGATGCTTGTGTTTAGTTTACCGATCTATTCAAGCATGTGGAAAGCAGCATTCATGTCAAATGTTTAATGAAAGAATGGTAAGTTAACACATCTTGCAATTTAGTATCCACTTTGTCAACTACAGTATACCTAACAAGTGAAGGTTAACACAGTAAAGACAAGACAATCTCTCCTAACAAATCACATAAGCTCCAGGCTTGTATCACCTGTCTTCAGTCTAATGAGTGGCCAGTACAACTTGCGAGAAAACATACCCAATTTTGGCTGGCATGTAGAGCATCAAAGGCACTACTGGAGAATCTTCATTTCCATAAATAATGAAGCCCATTTCCTTCAGGCGTCTTCTGAAATACCTGGTATTTTCGGCTAACTGTTGCACACATTCTTTGCCTGGAAAAAAATCAGGGGGAGAGAAAACAAATTAATATTAAGAAAAAAGAAGTTAAGGGGCTGGGGATTTAGCTCAGTGGCACAGTGCCTGCCTGGCAAGTGCAAGGTCGTGAGTCCGATTCCTGGTACAAGAAGAAAAAAAAAAAGAAAAAAAGTTAAAAAAAAAATGACAGATCTATTTCCATTCTACCTAATCAAGTCTATGTTTTCATCCTTCCATTCCAACATAAATATTTTTGCACAGTGAACTACTGAATATAAATATAAATAAAGGTGCCTCACTTTACACTCTGCCATTCTAGCTCTTACGATTTCATAACATTCATCTTCATTTTATGGGCTAGGAGACTCTCACAAAGGTGATGACTTGCCAAGCTGAAACCAGAATCCAGCTCTCCCAGCTTCAATATTCATTCTAACCATGATGCAAATAATTTTATACACAAGACCGGAGGTAAAGCCATTCAGACCTCAAAATTTCCTCAGGAGTTTCACTTTATATCACCATTTCCTTAAAAGTCTTACACATAGCAATAGCCTACCTGTAATAAGTAAAATCATATTGTTTTGTTTTTCAGTGCCGAGGCTTGAACCCAGGGCCTCAAGCATGCTAGGCAAGAGCTCTACCACCAAGCTACATCCCTGGCCCTAAAATCTTAGTTCTAGCCCAATTTTTGTTCATCCTTTCTAGAACACAAATAGACTAAAATACAAGTTTCTCTGACAGACAAATATTTGGCTAACATGTTAACATAATGGTAGGCTGATCTATGAACCAATACCCTAACAGTACTTGTGTTATCCACAGCCAAACCAATAAATCCAAAATATCAGCTTGCAAAGGGCTAAGCATTGTTCCATGATCTTCTCCACCACAAGTACTTGTGAATAAGAGGAGACTAAGTAATTTTCCCGAACATATTAGAAAGTCAGACATTTGTGTAAGTCCATGCATGATACAGTTCATAGGACAAATGAATCAACCAATCAGATATGCAGATAATAAATGTCCTCAGAATTAGAACACTAACATAACCGTCATTCATGGGATGCCACATTAGATAAAAACTGGCCAAAAATAACCCAAAACCAATCCTCTGTATAATTTCAGGTTGATCAGAGAACAACCACCTTGGGTTAACCTGATCATTATGAATGCCAAGGAGCATCACTACGTTGTATTCTTACAAAGAGCGAGAGCAGGCATTCCAGTGTGCTACAGTAAGTATGTTGAGAGCCGATGAGGGAAGTACCCCAGTTTTTCCCAAGAAATGTCAACACATGCTGACTCTAGGAAAAAGGGGACTGCCATGTCCAGCTATAATGGAATAGCACAGGCTGCATTTACCTTATTTTTTGTAAACAAATTTTAGTAAATAAGAAAAGGTAGTAGAAAACTTCGATAGGTCATTTGTAACCCTCAACTCCTTTGCACTACACTTTATGCTCAGGGAGGAAATAACAAGTACGAAGGATCAGCCAGCTGGGGATTTCATTCTTTTAAGGACCTAGAAAGCCTAAAAAGGGTGCAGGGCAGAGGTGGAAAGGGTATCACAGTTACCTACCTACTAAAACCACTAAATATTAGTAACTTTAAATAACTTTTACAAAACAGAATTAGACGATGATCTTTATTTTTTTTTTTTCAGGGGGGAGGTACTAGGCAGGCACTGCGCTGCTGAACTATAACCCCAGCCCTGAGTATCTTTACTTCTGAAAACTTAAACTTATTTATTTTTTTGCTGTGCTGAGGTGTCCTCGCACATGTTCAGCAAGGGCTCTACCAATGAGCTATATATACTTTCAACCCCAGGAAACTATCTTTATTAATCACTGCCAAATGTATTTTGAAGTTGTACCAATTATATTCTATCCATTTAAAACAGAAATCCTTTTATCAAATTTTCATCTGTATTTTTCAGCACTCTCAGCCATACTATCTTAAGGCTGGAAGGAACTAATGCATTATTTCTCAAACTCCATAAGCCCTCCTGGACAGGTATTACTCAGAACAGAGTGTTCTGTGAGCTACAAATTTTCCGAAGTCTCAGGACTGGTCCCCAAGCCAGAAAAAGATCTATATGCAAAGTGAGCAAATAGGTCTGACTATGCACTACATAAATGCAGATGAAGTAGAAAGACAACAGATATGTGTCTTAAATGGCACTAGTGCTAATTATGCAGTTATATTTCACAGAATACAGCATGTGCTCACCTGCTCAAATAGCAATACAGTTTCCAAGTTTTCAAAAGTTTTAAAATAACTATACCGCAACCAACAAAATTAATCTGACACTTTTTTTTTTTTGAGTACCGGGGATTGAACTCAGGACCTTGCACTTTCTGGGCAGGCACTTGTGCTGCTGAGCTATAGCCTCAGCCCTAACAAAATTAATCTGCAGCTCCAGAAAATAGCACTTCTGGTATTAACTGAACTCTTTCAAAATAAAGAGCACAAATACAAAGGATGTTCAGCCAGAGTAGGTTCCCTAGCTCACATTATATTACATTCACAAAGCTCCTAGTCATCTTAGATTTCTTGGATCTGTTGACATAAGCTGTCTTCCCGAGAAAAATAAAATAAAATTACTCCTACTACCCAGACTTAGACTGGTCAATTAATTATGGTGGACTGCAAGGATCTGAAATTTAAGAGAAATTGAAAACCTCCCCACCCCTTTTTCTTCTGACACGTCATAATCTCAATGCAAGTAAGGATTTTCTTAGTCTGGAGTCCTCCAGATAGAACAGACAGCTCCAAGAATGGTTTCAGGTAATGTGTTAGTCACTTTCCCATCACTGGGGCAAAACACTCAACACCCACAACTTAAAGGACAAGTGCATCTGGCTCCCAGTTTCCAGCAGGTTTAGGCAAAGCTGGCCAGCACCGCAGCAGGAACAGCATGGTGGAAGGGCCTGGAGGACGACAGCTGGTCACCTCACAGCAGCCAGGAAGCAGAAGAGAAGGGAGGAGGTGGGGACAAGTATCCCCTTCTAGGTCACCCAGTGGCCAGCCTAGCCAGACCCCTCCTAACAAGCCAGCCACAGTGCCCCACGATCGAATCGCCTTTCCAATACACGAGACTTCTAGGGAACACTTAGATCTAAACTATAACACGTAGTTTTCATAATAACCAGGAGTTAAGGGACATAAGATAGGATAAAATATGGAAAAATACTACTCAACATCTTGTTTTAATTTATAGAATTGAAAACATTCTAAGTGCCTCATAGGTTTATTATTTAATATTTTATGCCTAAGGAATGAACTTAACTGTTAAATCTTTAATTATCTCTTCCAAGATCATATTTTTACTATCTGGAAGTTTGTTTTTTCTAGTATTTTATTTTACTTTTGTTGGTTTTCACTGCGGAGAGAAAAGAAACACATTTCACTCCTGTGGTTTTTCTCTTCAAAAGCATTTTTAAAAAATGTCTTTCTCAGGACATTTTAAACCAGAACATGACAAAGTATATTCTCCACCTATGACAGAAGCAAACCCTCAGTGTTTACTTTATCTATGTTAATTAAGAACACGTCTCTACTGAAACCTAAAACTGGAGCTTCTATCTTAAAAGACCTCTTGTACAAGTGTTTATAATATCAGATAGGTCAAAGCATGTATGCACTATATTCCCAAACTAACTATGGGAGGGCTTAGTAAGTACTGACCCCTTTTAAAAGCAAAGAAAGTACGTAAAAGATCAAGTATAATGCCAGGCTGAATAGATGTTTGTGCCCTTCCCTTTTTCTAGTAAATCAGTATCTAATCAGGGAAATTAAATTCTGCTTCAGTTATTACATCTCTAAATGTTACCAACTCAACTGTTAGCCAGCCTTACCTCCTGATACTATGATATAACTTACAATAAACAAAGAAGAGTATGTTGTTTCACATTAATTTAAATCAACTTAGTTTTTGCTTAGTTGACACATATATACTAATGGTGCTACAGCCGGCTCAATCTCTTCTCAGATGCAACTGTCTTGGCAGAACACTTAAGAGTCACTGGCCCGTAGGCAATAAATACCAAGCCCCCCTACCCAGTCTGTGACTTAACAAAATGCTGCCAGACTTTCCACAGCCTTCCTCAGAAGATGGGCTGAGGGCTACTGCCGGCCCTCAGGATTCCTTCCTCATATGGACCTCGGGTTCTTTTCTCATAGCTGTAAGCTGTCGGAGAATGTTTTTATCTCCCTTAGACTCAATTACCATGTTTACTTGGGAAGATATAAATGTGGAACAATCCCATATATTTATAGTACAAAGCTACTTGTGAGAAAACTCAAGAAAAAATATTAGCTAATTTTTTAACAGTATATACGCAGAAAGGTAGTATCTTATGATTAAGTAGTCTGTCTCTGTCTCTCTTATGGTATTGGGGACTGAACTCAGCCTTGCATATGTTCAGCACTTGTTCTACCGATGAGCCCCAGACCCCATCAGAAGTAGAACTTTTCCTTACATATTTTTGCATTCCTTCTTAGAATTTTACTTCTGTCCCACTAATCTGTTACAGATTATTGGAGCTCAAAAGAAAGTTTCTGCTCCCCCATCAGTCTACTCTTTTGAGCTTTCCTCCTCATCTGTTGATATTATTATTACTGGGGTACAATGCACGTTCCATAAAATTCCAGCTGTTATAACTGTTAGTATATTCACAGTTACGCAACTATTACCACTCTTAATTCATCATCACTACCAAAAGAAACTCTGTACCAATTACCAGTCAGTCTTATTCCATTTTCTCCCGCCCCTATGCCTGTAATGGCAAACCTTTTAGAGACTCAGTGCCAAGCTGCAACCCAAAATCCACTTACTTGTCCCAAAGTGCCAATACTGCAATTAACCCTGAATGCTGAGGTTTTAGTTTAGAGAAAAACAGCTCATACATTAACATCTTTTGTCTTCACAGAAAAACACAGTAGGCACCAACAGTGCAGGCAATCTCTCATCTTCGTATTTTCCTTTTCAAAAGGAGTACATATTTGTAACACA